AGCATGCCTGGGACAGGAAAACCCCATGTTTTCTCTGAAACCAGCCTCTCCAGCCCAGTTAAACTCATTGGGACCACCCAGCATCACCACCTTGACGGTAGATCATTGCTGTTAAGACTTTGGTGCTTTGATTCCTTAAAATCAGGTGCTTGGAAAGCTGTGGATGAGTGTGTAGCATCTCCCAGAGGAGAATAACATTTTTTAGTAATGTTTTGGATGGAGTGGTATTTTGATAAAGAGAAAAAAGCACCAAAACATCCTTGTCTTCCTTTAGCAACGTGGTGGGGTCACCTGAAGGAGCCCAGCTCTGGGAATCTGTGCTCCACTCAGGACTTTTCCTGCCTTTCCCAATTTTCCTCTCTTTTTCCTTTGCAGTGCAAGAAGAAGCACACACTGGTTTGCCCCGACTTTGCCAAGAAAGGCATCTGCCCCAGGGGTGCCCAGTGCAAGCTGCTGCACCCACAGAAGAAGCGTCACCTGAGAGAGGCAGAAGATGGAGACCGCAGCGACCCCCCTTCCAAGTGGAGACGGGTCTGGGAGGAGACGGGCAGGTAGGAAGGAGCAGAAGAAACTCTCTTTGCTGCTCTTAAACAGTTTTCTTCTCAGCCTGCTCTGGATGTTTCCTCTGGATGTATGTGTGTGCTGGTTTAAGATGTTGTTGATGTCGGTCCCTGTGGCGCCTTCTTGATAGAGCCACTGCGGTCAACAGGTTTGGGCAAGGTCTGTGCTCGAGGGAGAGGTTTCCAGGCAGAACTTACGGTGAGAAAAGAGAAGATAGCTCCCATCTTGCTACCCAATTCGTGCCGTTGGAGTATGGCTATCTTCGTCCTTAGAAATGTTCTGCCCAGGGCTTCATCGCCTCCAGGTATCTCTGAGGCTTTTGTAGGCCTTTCACCTAGGAGATGGAGGAGCCCTGATGGAGACTCCACCATCAAAAGTGGGTACAGCTTATCCATAGCTCTGTGGGAAAATGGAAAGCATCATCCCTCGTCCTCTGTCTTCCAACCCATGGCAGAGAGCAGACCTAAGCCATCAGAGTGGCATGGGGGGACTTGCTGTCAGGGCTGGAGTCCTCCCCTGAAGAAGGAGAGATGGAGATGGAGATGGAGATACAACAGGCTTTGTGCCTCTTGATATTGATATTTCTTGGTTAATCCTTGGAAGCTATCTGAGCTCTTTCTGGGCAAAGATGATGATGATTTTGGGTGCTGGGATGGAGCCTGCAGGCTGAGGGACACATTGGTCCCTCATCCCCACAGGGACACAGATTTTCTTGAGCTTGGCACAGCCTTGCCTTCCTCAGCCCTCATCTGCCTGCAAAATGACTCCATCCCAACGTAATTAAAATTAAACCCAAATTGAAATGTAGATTTAAAAGCCAAAATCTTAAAAATCGTGGTTAGCAGGAGGAGAAAATACTGGCTTGGATGCTCAGCTCCTCCACAGCTCTTCGCAGCAGGACGTGGGGGTGAAGGTGGGATGGGAACGAAGGGACTTGGAGCTGTGCTGGTCTGTCTGGTCCGTGCTCTTGCCTGGTCCTGGGCCTCATCCTGGCCCTGCCTTGTAAGGTAGCAGAGGGGGGTGAGCACTCAGCGGGCTCTCTGAACTTATCCCGAGTGACAGAAGAGCCTTGGAATGACACCCAGCTCACGTCCCCGGTGTGAACGAGGTGTAAAATAGCTCCTTGGTCTTTTTAGGTAAGGAGGCATGAACACAGAGCTGGGCTGTGGGGAGGCACCCTCCTCCCATCCCAGGGACAGCTCCTGGCATCCTCTGCTGGGAAGGGATCATGCCTGAGCTTGGAAGCTGCTTGGGAGCTTTTTTTCCTTTATTGGCACCGTCGTCGGAGATGTCGAAGGAGCTGAAGTGTCATCTTAGCTGGGCTTGGAGCTGGGCGTCAGGGTTGGGGCTGAGCCAAGCCCAGCGGGGCATCTCTGAGCCATCCTGCTCCCCTCGCCCTCCATGTCCCCTCTCCTCCACTCGCTTTGCCCAGCCAGCACCCGAACAGGAGCCCAGCACCTCCATGAACATCTAAGAGCTGGAAACTTTGCAGGGAAGCACAGGGTGGGGAATCCGGCTGGGGAGTGAGAAACTCCGGTTGAATCTGAGCTAGCTCCTGGGAAATCAGAGATATGGAGCAGCCTGGGATGGAGCCCAGGGAGCCTCCGTGTCTGGCTGTGGTGGTTCACCCCAGCCTCTTCCACTGCACATGATGCCGTGTCCAGCATTGCCAAGTGGGATCGCTTTCTTTTTCCTTACTATTTTTGCCATGTGCCTCCTGTAGGAATGATCCAGCTCAGCTCCACGATGATGGGGAAATACCTGGACCCTCCAGCATGGAGCAAGAGGTGAAGTTTTGGAAAGAGACGGACATCACGCCAACCAGCTGGCTGCAAAAGCTACCATCCTTCATCTCCCTCCAGTCCTCAGCCTCTCCTGGTGTCCAGGGCTGCAAAGTGGAGCAGGATGAGGATGAGTCAGAGGATGAACCAGGTAGGAAGCGCTTGCTCTGCTTTTGCTCACACGTGCTTCAAGCTGTTCTGATTCACTGGGCAGGAGAGTTATTCCCCTCACTGCTTTCTGTGGTTTTTGGTGGGACTGATGTTCCTTGGGAGTCACCAAACCAGTTACGCTGGGAGCTCAGACTGGGGTGGCAACTGGGATTTGCATCTCTGGTCACACAGGGGCACGAGCTGCTGGCTCTGCTCCCGAAACCGCATGGTAGGATTTTGTCTCCATCCTTTATGATTGTTTCCTTCTTCCTTATCCTATAAATTATCCGGTGATGAAACCAGTCTTGTTCCTGTGATGGAACCGCAGCGGTCCCCAGTAGGAGGGTGTTTCAGAGGGGTGCAGCGATGCTCTGCTTCACCGCTGGACCCACAGAAGCCCTCTGAACCACCCATCACACGTGTTTCTTGACGTGAAATAGCTTTGAAGCTTTGGAATAAAAACATCCCTGGTGTTTTTATCCCTGGTGGGAGGTGGGATAGGGTGTCTGCAGGTGGCGAGGAAGAGCCAGGTTAGTCTGAGATTATCAGCTTTGTTCTTTTATTAAAAGGTGAGGAAGAGGCTTTGGAAATAGGTAAAATATTTGGAAAATGCAGTTTTGGGATGAGCCAAACTTCTTACAGACTTTGACCCAGGAGAACAAACAGCTTCTGCCTCGGCCATTTTTTGGTTTTTGGAAAAGTTCCGGGAAATGTTTCAACTGTTTGAAACTGAACTGATTGTAGGAAAAAAAGGCAGGAGAAAACTGTTAAAGAAATGAGAATAAACGTCTTTATTTCTCTGCAAAGCAGCTCATGGTGGAGCCTAATCCAACATGTTCCTTGATTCCTCCTCTCCTAATTCAGCTCCTACGCTGGAAAATCCTTTAATCACCAGCAGCTCTGTGGGAAGGAGCGGGACTTTGGGGCACTCTGGGCTTGCATCCTCAGGAGGAGAGGTGATGGAGATGGTGAGGCAGAGATCGTGCCTGGTCCTTCACAGCACTGGGTGGGAGTTTTTTGGCTGGATGATGCTTCCAGGATTTCTTTTCATCTCCCCTCCTTCTCTGAAGGGCTGTGCGGTAGCTGCATGTCCTGAGCGCCATCGCAGAAAGGGAGACAGTGCCTGGCTCAGGAATCAAAATGTTTTGTGGTAGAAATGAGGAAATCCCCACCGCCAGCTGGGCTGGCACAAGATGTGGCTCAGTGCGAACTGAAGAGCTGGAGCATCCCTCCCGGTCTTCCATCCCATTCCTCCTCCCACCGAGTGTGCAGCCGGAGCAGGATCCCACTGGGAGAAGGGATGAATTCAGCACTGCAGGCTGGGCTGGGGCATTTGCCTGGTCATCCGTAAGCGGGTGCTGAGGATCTGCAAGGATTTGCCTGGCTCGACCACAAAGAGCTTCGAGACAGGGATGACTGAGATGCCTTAACACTCTCGGGAAGAAAATTCCCAGGATTAGCAACATATTCCTGAAGTCACAGGCGAGTGTGTGCACTGTTGAACCATGGCGCAGCGGAAACATCGAGGGACCGTTCCGGCTGGGAAAGCTCCTGTCTGCAACACAGAATTAAATGCTTGGCTTCCCTTTCCAGGACTTTCTTCCCCCCACATGCCTCCCTCCATCCCTCTCCTTGGCCCTGGTTCAACTCCCTTTTGATCGCAGTGACAGGGCTGGGAAAGTGTTCTCAAAGCAGTGTCATAATCGGGTTTTTATATCTCTGTGCTGAAGATGGAGCAATTAATCTGCGGACAAGAAAACTGTTGAAAAACCCTGGATTGTGCTTGGCAGCCTGGAGTAACTCAGTCGGGAGGGCAGAAGCATCATCCTGGCAGTGAGGGCATCCTTTTCTCCATTTTGCACACACAGAGGACAATGATTTCCAGGTGTTTTGGGTGGGAGGATGCGTAGAAGGAGCTGGTTCAGTCCAGGGACGTCAGGAAGAATCACAGAGTCACGGAATGGTTTGCGTTGGAAGGGACCTGAAAGACCATCCAGTTCCAACCCCCCTGCCATGGGCAGGGCCACCTTCCACTAGACCAGGTTGCTCCAAG